GCCGGGGCCGGTTGCGGCGAGGCGGGGGGGCAGGCGGGCTCTGAGGAGAGGGATCGTCCCTGAGGAGAAGACCCTTCTCCCAAGCCCTTTCCTTGAGGAGAAGGGTCTTTCCTGACAGGCTGACACCATCCCTGAGGAGAAGGGCTTTTCCCTGGGCCAGTGCCCTGAGGAGAAGGGTCTTCCCCAACAGGCTGACACCATCCCTGAGGAGAAGGGACTTCTCCCAAGCCCATTCCCGGCGGAGGATGGTGTTCCTTGCCGGCTGACACCGTCCCTGAGGAGAAGGGACTTCTCCCGAGCCCCTTCCCCTTGCCAGCTGACACCGTCCCTGAGGAGAAGGGACTTCTCCCGAGCCCATTCCCGGCGGAGGATGGTGTTCCTTGCCAGCTGACACCGTCCCTGAGGAGAAGGGACTTCTCCCGAGCCCATTCCCGGCGGAGGATGGTGTTCCTTGCCAGCTGACACCGTCCCTGAGGAGAAGGGACTTCTCCCGAGCCCATTCCCGGTGGAGGATGGTGTTCCTTGCCAGCTGACACCATCCCTGAGGAGAAGGGACTTCTCCCAAGCCCATTCCTGGCGGAGGATGGTGTTCCTTGCCAGCTGACACCGTCCCTGAGGGGAAGGGACTCCTCTGCTAGTGCTGACCCCAGGCCGTGAGGAGAAGGGCCTCTCCGGGGCGCAGCTGTGGTCCCTGAGGAGAAGGGCGTCCCGGGCTAGGCAGACCTGGCTCCTGGGAAGGGCCATCCCTGAAACACCTCAAGCAATACTTACGTCCCAGTCCCTACTCATTCTTTCTTTCTCTCTGCCAGTGGAAGTTGCTACCAAGGCCAATCCCTGGGATGGGAAGACGCTGAAACCCGAGAGCGTGCGATCGCAGCTGGACACTTCCCTGGAGAGGCTGAAGAGAGCGAGCGTGGAGCTCTTCTACCTCCATGCCCCCGACCACGGGACCCCAGTGGAGGAGACGCTGCGTGCCTGCAATGAGCTGCACAAAGAAGTAAAGTGGGAAGTCCAGACACGGACCATCTCTTGATTCCCTTCATCTTTTTAAACCAGGGCTGCTCGTTGTACCCTCGTGCAGCAGCGGGTTTGCACAACACTGGGCAGAGGGGACACAGATGACAGGGCAGAGCCAAACAGCTGACGCTGTGCTGCGTGTTCACGTGGTGCACTTTGTTCTCAAAAAGCTCTTGGAAACGTTAGAACCTCTGAACTTTGCTTTCAGCCCTGTTAACTGACTAGGCTAAGATTAGTGCTGGTAACGAGTGAAGAATTCTTGACCTGCATTAATCTAACAGTGCCATTTAAATGAGAAGGTGTGAATTCAAAAGGAACAGAAAGCGGGAAATAGTTTTGTCAGGTCATGTAATTCAGTCATGTCTAGGTACAAACGGACTTCTAAAGTCTGGAGCTGAACACCCTTTTATTCCTCTGCAGGGGAAGTTTAAAGAGCTCGGTCTGTCAAACTACGCAGCGTGGGAGGTGGCAGAAATCTGCACCATCTGCAAATACAACAACTGGGTGATGCCGACTGTGTACCAGGTGAGGGAAGGGCATTGCTGCTCTTGTGGAGGCTGAGATGAAGCAAATGAATATGAGGGTTACAGGTGGTTCTCTGGTCCTGACAGCAATGGTCAGTCCCCCTAGGGAGGGCACTGGGAGCCCCAAATGTCACCAGCCCCCAGTGTGCCAGATACAAACAGGGAAAAGGAAGCTGCTGCAGTTAGTCTGGGGAGTCCTTTCAGCAATGAGGAAGCTGAGGGAGGCCAGTCCTGAGAAAAAGCTGAGTGCACGTTTGCTGCTTGCGTCAGTCACTCCCTGGACGTGGAACTTTCCACATTACTGGCAATCCTTTAGACAGTTTGTTCCTAAGCAAGCAATAACCTTGTGTGACCCGAAGGCGTGCGTCTGGGTGAGAGCACTGTCGGGGAAGAGGCTGTTGGGGTGCTGGCGCTCAGTCGCGAGCTGCCGTTTGAAGCGCCGCGTCTCCCTCCTTTTCACACAGGGTATGTACAACGCGACCACTCGCCAGGTGGAAGCCGAGCTGTTCCCTTGCCTCAGATACTACGGGCTGCGGTTCTACGCCTACAATCCGCTGGCAGGTGTGGGGAGGGAAAGACTTGGAGACAAAAATGTGACATAGGGGCTGTAGAAGAGCCGGCTCATCCCTAAACGTGCCGCTGACCTTTTGCAGGAGGGCTGCTGACCGGCAAGTACAAGTACGAGGACAAAGACACACGTCAGCCCACTGGAAGATTTTTTGGGAATGACTGGGCTCAAGCTTACAGGGACAGGTATGTTCCGAGCCAGCAGACGAGCAGGGAGATGCGGCAGGAGTGACGACGTGAAGAAAAAACACGCTAATAATCTGCTGGGAGGAAGCAGAACTGACCAAAGCTTGTGCAGTAATTATGTCTGGACGTGTGATCAGGGCCGAGGCTCGTGACTGAGCTTTGCAGAGTGGTTTTTAGGCTCAGCTTCCTCCCGGCTTGCCACAGGGGATTGCAGAAGTCCTAAAAGGCTATGCAGAGTTGTGTGAGGCTTCCTGAAAGCCTTTTGTACATGATGGAAATATAGATGTACCATTCAGTGGAGATCCCGAGGGCAGTAAGAGCGATTTCTTTTCTTGCAGGTACTGGAAAAAGCACAATTTTGAAGGCATTGCCCTAGTAGAAAGAGCTCTGAAAGATGCTTACGGCCCCAATGCGCCGAGCCTGACCTCCGCTGCTTTGCGATGGTTGTACAACCACTCCAAACTGCAGGTAAGGGCTTGACGTGGCTGTAGCCGGCAGCCTGCGCGGCACCACCACACCCGGGCGGCTGTCGCTGCACACAGACAGGGACATGTCTGCGTCCAGTTGTCTTTAAGCTGCCCATCCCGTGTGCTTGTGGCATTCCAAAGCGAATACTGCTTTACATGCTCTGCCTGCCAGGCTCTAGGAATGAGCGAGCTGTGCCTTTCCCCATGGTATCCTGTGTTCATGGGAATGGAAGATTGTGTTAATTCCTGGGGTCTTGGTTTCCCACCCAGAGAGCTTCCCTGCGAGGAGATGACTTTGCTTTTCATCGGACTAGGAAATTAGTGGTTATACTCCCCATCTCCCAACATTCCTGGAGCCCCCCCGTATAGTAGGATTTGGCATGACTTGCAGGTGTTGACTTGCAAAGTTCTGGCCTTGTGAACAGAAATTCGTGGTGTCATTTGTCTTAAGATCCAGGATGTCCTGCCTTATTGGAAAAACAGTTTGTCCTGCAATAGCTTGGGAGGTGAACTAGGTGTATTTTGGTGACTCAGCAACCCCTCTTACCGCTTTCCAGGGTTCTCTTGGAGATGCAGTGATCATTGGGATGTCCAACTTGGAGCAGCTAGAGCAGAACCTTGACTACAGTGAAGAGGGCCCCCTGCTCCCGCCTGTCGTGGAAGCGTTCGATAAAGCCTGGAACCTGACTGCGCACGACTGCCCCAACTACTTTCGCTAGAGACTAGGGTAGGGAGAACAAAGCGGGTGTTGTGGGGGTGGATATCAAACACTAGTCCCTCGGAGCGTGGGAGAGGTACTCACCCAGGACGTGCAAACCGTTGGTGATTTTTGCTTGTATTAATGAAGCTTTGTAGGATCCACGACCACTGGCAGCGCTTGGATTGGCCCACACACTACTCTTTGTCCCCTCGTGGACTTCCAGCTCTATGCAGCGCACACACTACGATTTAAAGACGCTGCTGATTGGGGAAAAGGGATGCGTAACTGCACAAAGGCCCCAGTTCTGCTACAATATCATGTCTTAAGTACAAGAATAAAGACTTTTGCTCATCTCTTAACTGTACCTAGAGCCTGGCTGGTGTCTTCTTATCAGCACTCGGTGATTTTGAGCTAAATAGCTGCCTCTGAAGCTTTTATCAGCAGATAAGAACAAGCCCTTGTTATCTTCCCCAGCATCAGGTGCACTATATCTAAGTTGTGCTACGCTTACACACCTTCTACCTCACTTTCATGTTTGAGGTGGCATTTCCCTGGCTATTGACACAGTAACAGGCAGCAGCTACAACCATCTGAAGTTTTATATATAGAGTTATATATAAAAAAAGCATATTTAGGTCATCTTTTACAAAGAGCATATTTGAGCTGATCGTGCTTGTCCTCCGGGTGCGAACACGGAAAGGAAACATCCTCCTCTTTTTGTCTCTGAAACAGAGACCCGTCTAGTGTCCCAGCACAAGGGCTGCTGCTAATCCTCATTGCTGTCGTCACCGTCGTCCTCCGCTTCTTCCTCCTCTGCTGTGTCTCCCACAAGCTTCTGGAAGTCTCCCGTCTCAGAATTCCACAGAAATTTGATGGTGACTTTAAACTCCGCCATCTCATAGCCAAAGAGTTTCTGGGAAAGGACACAAATCGG